CTGGGTACATGTGAGCCTCTAGGTCCTCAAGTGTGGTCCTTTTGACTGAACCCAAACTTCACAGAACAAATCCTCTTCATAAAAGGATTTGTTCTGCAAAACTTGGACTCATTCCAAAGGCCACACTACATGAGGCCCCAAGGCCACAGGTTTCTCCACCCCTGAGACTCTCATTCTCTCATTCATGACCCGTAAAATCATCTGAATGCTTTCTTTTCTCTGTTTTCTTCATACATTCCGATCCTCCAAGGTATCCATTCTAAGCTGTGCCCTCCGGTGCTTTCTGGCCCTGCCTTGTAGGGCTTACCCCATGGGTTTTAGCTTTTCCCGTTGTGTGCCTTGCTTTCAGAATATTAGATGTCCCTCCATGATAGGGAACAACTCATCCTACTCACTTATACCCTCTCGTATTGACCCTTTTTTCCTTCTGCACTTGCCTGGAAATCTCATGCAGATATCCATGCCCTCCTAGTCCTCCAAGTGCCAGTTGCCCCTGGGGTCCAAACCCCCTCCTCTTCTGTACAAGTAGACTTTTCAGGCCTAAATCCCTCAGGCTTCAGTGTGAGATCCTTATTTCTCTTCACCCATCAATACATTCCTCAGGGGGAACCCCCTGCCCCCTCCAAAGTCAGGTCTCCTTCTTATCTCTACCTTTTCAATCTTTCCCCCTCCTCACCTACTCCCCTCCTTGCTCTTCTCTTCCTGAGACCATAGAGGTCACCTTCTCCATCCTCATTCTCCCTGATTTTTCTGCAGCTTTGACACTTTTGATCCCTCTCTCCTCCTGGATGCTTTCCTCTCTCTGGGTATTTTGGACACCCAGCTCTCTCTTGGTTTTCTTCCCACTTCTCTGACCTCTTCTTTGGAATGATCCTCCTCCTGAGTATGCTCTTTAAACATGCATAGGTGTCCCTCAGGCGTCTGTCCTGGGTCCTCCTGTCTTCTTCCTCTATACCACTTTACTTGGTGATCTCATCATCTCCCATGGACTGAATTACCATCTCTATGTGGATGATTCTCCCATGTACCTCTCCTGCCCCTATCTCTATGCTCATCTCCAGTCTTGTATCTGATTCCTCAGAGATATCTCAAATTGGGTGACCAGTCGATATCTTAAACTGTCCAAAATGGAATTTGTTACCTCTCCCCAAATCACTACTTCCCATTGTATTGTAGAGGGTTACACTATTCTTCCTCAGGGTCACCACATAGGGTCATCCTGGACTCCCCATTATCTCTTACTCCACATATCCAAGATGGTGCCGAGGTCTGTCCATTTCACCTTCTCCACATCTCTACAACATACCAGTCCTCTCCTCTGACACTGCCACCAGCCTGGTGCAGACCCACCTCGCCTCACAGCTGGCCTGTTAAGATAGCCTGCTTCCCTCAGGGCTCTGCCCATCCAGGCCATTCTCCATTCAGCCACTACAGTGATTTTCCTATGATGCACTTCTGACCTTGTCACTCTTCTACTGAAGAAACTCCAGTGGTTCCTGCTTGTCTACAGGATCAAATACAAAGTTTTCCGTTTCTCATTTAAAGCCGATCATAATCTAGCCCCTTCTATCTTTCCAGTCTTCTTACACCTTACTCCCCAGCATGTATTATCTGATCCAGTGATGCTGGCCTCATGGCCTCTCTCACCTCCAGGCATTTTCCATGGCTCTCTCCCATGCCTGGAATACTCTCCTTCCCCAGTTCAGACTCCTGGTGTTCCTGGCTTCCCTCAGGTCCACCTTCTGCAGGAAGCCTTCCCTAACCCCTCCTAATTATCTTGTCTTTCCTCTTTTAATTATTTCCTATTCTGCTGGTAAGTTGCTTTGTTTTCATTCCTTTACATATTGACTTCTCCAATAGAGTGTAAACTCCTTGAGGGCAAGGACTATCTTTTGCCTCTTTATGTATCCCAGGTGTTTAGTATAGTGCCTGGCACTTAGTGGGTGCTTAATAAATATATGTGGAATAGAATTGTCTTAGTCTTTCTGTATGTAAGATCCATTCTCGCCGCCCAAGACTTCCTCATGCCTGCTCATCCTTACGACTGTCCCAAAAGGTCTGATTCCTTAAGAGTCTTGCCTGTGTGGCTCATCTTTAATAAACCTTGTGTTTGGCTGAAACACAAGGTGGGACCCGAGTGTGGTGATTTTATGATCCCAGCACCCATAGCATCTTCACCTCAACATAACTATAAATTGTTTCTCTTCATCAAAGACTGCCTGTTCCTATCCATTGATGATCTACTGGGGAATGACTTATATTCTTAAAGATTTGACAAAGTTCTTTATATATTTGAGATGTGAGACCTTTATATGAGAAACTCTTTATATTCCCCCGTTAATTTTCTGCTTTCCTTCTGATCTTGCCCACATTTTTAAATTTAATGCAATCAAAATTGTCCATTTTACACCTCATGCTGATCTCTCTCTCTTGTTTATTCACAAATTGTTCACCTAGCTGTAAATTTGATGAGTACTATATTCCATATTCTTCACATTTTCTTTTAATATCACTATGTCTGGTTATGTACACATTTTGACATTACCTTGGTAAATGGTGTAAGATATGGGTCTATGCCCAATTTCTGTCACACAGCTTTCTAGTTTTCCCAACAGTTTTTACCAAGTAATGAATTCTTATCCCCAAAACTTCAGTCTTTATACTTGCCAAATACAAGGTTAGTATATTTATTTCCTCCTGTCATTGTATGCCTACTCCATTCCACTGATCTACCTTTCCATTGCTTTTTACCAGATAGTCTCAATAATTACAGGCTTATAATATAGTTTAGGATCTTGTATTGCCAAACCTCTTTCCACTTTTTGTTCTTCCAAATGAATTTTGTTAGTTTTTTTCTAATTCAGTAAAATAATTTTTTGATACTTTAATTTGGTTAGCATTGAATATATAAATTAGGTAAAATTGGCATTTTTATTATATTGGTACTTCCTACACATCAATATTTAATATTTCTCCAATTATTTAAATCTGATTTTATTTGCATAAATTTTTAAAAGTCATTTTGTTCATATATTGTCTAGAGTTATTTTTAAGTGGGGTATGATCTGATTTTCTTTATAAAAATATTTCAGTCCCTTCTTTATTATTGAACAGCTGCTTTTGGTCCTCTATTGCTAAGGTTGCATTTGCAGGATAGTTCACTCTGGGCTGCAACCTCAGCTCTACTGCTCTCTGGAACACATTCTTCCATTGCCTCCTCACACCCAGTGGTTTTGGAATAGTCTTGCATATTCCAGTGTCCTTTCCATTGCATTTGAAAGCCTTTCTACTGATGGCTTTTAGAACTCGTTTAGCAGACACTACACAAAAGAATGTTAAAGAGGGGTCCAGGAGAGGAGAAGGTATCTGATTCAGGAGCATTGTGGAGAAGTCAGTCAGAGAAGGCTCAAAGTAGTTGAGTCAGGTGAGAAATGAGATGTCTCAGATAATCTTTCTCCTTAAATGGTGGTTTGGAATTCATGACTTCATACCACTGTGATGCAGGAAGGATGTGAGAGGCTTGAAAAGGAAACAGGTTTTGAATAGCTTCTCTTGAGTGTAAGTTAGGGAATAAATTAGAGATCAGTTATAGATCAATAAAAGAATTGCCTTCCTATAGTGAGAGCCCACACAATGAATACTGGTGTGGTGAAGAGGGTCAAGAGACCCTAGTGAAAAAGAAAGATTTCTGCATTTTGGGGAGTCACAGAAAGTGTCAAAGTTCAGTAGATACCTCAAATTGTTCCAAGGCAAAATAATAGGACAATGGCAGTAAAGGCTAAAATATTGATTAAAAGTAGATGATGAGTCAAGTGTTTGAAGAAGAAATCACAATAGTGAAAAAAGTGAAAAGACAATTTTGTGTATATGATAGAGAATTATTCCCAAATATTAGAATCTCTGATAAAGTGAGTCATATGCTTCTGATGAAAATGGAAGACCATCAGATTCCAAGTCCATTGGCCAAACGTGCATTGTGCATGTAGCACGCTTGAAATATAGCTGACTGCTCCCAAGTATCAGGATGTTTTCAGAACTGGCCAACCTCTCCAGTATATGCTCCGTCAGCAGGCCTCTTAACTCATTCTCCTGATTTCTGTTCTCCCAAGTTCCCTGAATTCTAGGGGTGTCCTTAGATCTTTCATTTCTATTGGGGAACCTGACAATGTCTTTCTCATGACTTAGCTCAAATACAACCCACATTTGCTTTTTTTTTTTTAATTGAATTGAGGAACAGTCCTTTCTCCATGACAGTTACTGTTATTTCTATGTAACAAAATATTATAGTTGAGGAATATATGCTATTGTGAAACAAAAACAATCATAAAGGAAAGGCATAAGATGCTTTCACCCAGACACGTCAAACGCAAAGTAGCTTCAAGCCCTCTATATAGCCAGTGATAACTCACCTTCACTTGTCTGGAAAGGCTCATAGCCCGCAGTTCAACCCAAATTATAATTAATATCTCTTTAGAATCCTTTTCATGTTTTGTCTAGATAAGATTTTGTTTAAACCTCTCAAGAAATTGACTAGATCTTTTCTTTTTTTTCCTCTCTTGATCACACAGAAATTCCCCCAACCCTCAAAATACACTGTACTTCCCAGCTTCTCACAAACTCCCCATAGAATTTTCATTATATCACTTCTGTCAGTTCTGAGAAGGCAAGAATTCCACATATCTTCTTTTTTTTTCCTCTACAGATTCTCCTACCTCACAGATAAAACACACACTTTTTCCCAGATTCCATAGGGAGACCATTCCATAGTAAGACCTTTCTCAACTTTATTCCAACTGACCATATCAAAGGCTTTTCTCAATGTTCCATTGAGCTCTTAGTGACGATAGTTTCAAGTATTTACTCTGACATTCATCAGGATTACAACTTTGGGCAAATCCCCTTTCTGAGCTTCAGTTTCCTCCTCTCATTTGATGAGGGTTAGACTACAGGAATTCTGGAGTCTCTTTCAGCTCTAAATCTTGTGACTTTTGATGGTTTAGGAGGTGGTGACATTCCAGGATGTGGCTGTGGACTTCACCCAGGAGGAGTGGGGTTTCTTGGACCATCCCCAGAAGGAGTTGTACAAGGAGGTCATGCTGGAGAATGCCCAGAACCTGCTCTTCCTGGGTAAGGACACTTCCCCTAGACACTCTGAGTCTGCAATGCAAGGGAATGTCTTCATTCCTGAGTGTGCAAGATGGAAGCATTTATCAATTCCTGGAAGAGAAAAGTGCTGGTCTCCTGTGTCCAAGAGACAGGGTCTCCTGCTGCCTGGTTTTCCTAGAAAAGGTCAGTACACTGTGTGAAGAGAACCGGGAGGTTTCCTGGTTGCTCCTGAAGCTGTGTCTTGCCAATTCTAGGTAGCTTGAGGTCAAAGATCAGATCCCTGTTGAAGCCTCTCAGATGTGAAAGTAATCCCACATTATGTAGTCCAGCCTCTCCCTGGACATAAATTTGGTATGCCAGTTCTCTAGAAACTGCTCCCACAGGTTTTCCTTGTGACCCCTTCCTCTTTGGGATGGCGCTACTGTATGGAACATTCTTCTTAAGAAGCCTCAATTTATAGCTCACAGCTCCTACATGTGCCTGGTATAGCATGTTTGTCCTGAATCTTCCGTTACAGTGCCCCCATTCCAACAGAGATGGTGGGAAAGACAGGAAGGGAATAAGCCTTTCTATTCACCTGCTGTTCACCAGATTTCTTTACAGTATTATGTCATTAGGTGGTATTGTTATCTACATTTCACATTTGAGTAAACTGAAGCAAACAGGTTAAGTGACTTTTCCAGAGGCACATAGGTAGTAACTGCCTTAGGCTGGATTTAAACCCTGGCATCCCTGACTCCAGGCCCAGGGCTCTCTCCACTGCACTACCAGCTGCCTCTACTTTCTAGATAATTATAACTATGCAGTGAGTCCATCCTTCCATGAAGAAGGTGCACCAGGACCAAATTTTCTGATTCCTAATTGGCTCCATGACTGTCACCTTCGCATCTCCCCAAAGCTCTTCAGAATAAATGCTGTGGAAACCTTGCTCAAGGAGTCCTGGGAACCATCCTGTGCTTCTTTTTTGTAAGCCCCTCTCAATGGCACGAATAACAGACTGGCCAAGACTTAGAATTTGGATTAACTAAGGTTCATTGAGTTCCCCAGCAGGAGAATCTCACCAGAAAAGGCAAAGACTCCCTGAATGAACAGTAACAAGGTGTTTATAGGTTTCAGGGGAGTGAGGAGCAGGGTAGGGGGACAGGGCCAAAGCTGATTCTCCAAGGCTGATCAGGCACATCCTATTTTGGGTTACTTGCATTACAAGCATTGATGGGAGAATGAGCCAGATATGTGTGAACATGATGGAGTGATTCTCAAAATACAGTAGCTTTGTATGCACACTGTTTTCTCCACCCTCATCCCTGATTCCCCATGCCCAGGGCTGCCAGTTCCCAGAGAAGATTTGATCTCCTATTTTGAGGAAAGGGAAGCACCATGGCTCCTGGAGCAAGAAGGCCTGAGGGGCTGCTGTCCAGGTGAGTGAGGTGAAAGCAGGTGGATGAGAGCTGTGATCACAAGAGGCTTCTAGGTGTGGAGGTGAAGCAAGTGCTAGATTTAGAGACAGGAAGCCCTGACTTGGAATTCTTTTTTAGACACCTTTTATCAGTGGGATCCTGTACAAGTCACTGCACCACAGAGCCTCAGTCTACCCATCTGTAAAATGAGGGCATTGGACTCCATGGCCTTTTTGCTCCCTTCCAATGATAAATTTTATCTATGATTTTGTGAAAAGGAATTGTTTGGAATTTGAGGGCATAGAACTCCCCTGAAAATGCAAAAAGGGGTTAGGCTTTCCCATATGAGCTCTTTTTTAGACCTTCTTCAAGTCAATGAACATTTAATAATAAGTGTCTGCAACGTGCCAGATTCCCTGATAAGCACCAAGGATCATGTTGACTGTTGTAAATATACAAATTAACTACAGAGGACCTATGAAGAAAGGCATTATCTGCATCCAAGAAAGAACCGATAAATAGAAGTATGTAGAGAATGGTTTTACATCTTTCTTTATCTAAATGTGTGTGAATGTATGTGTACATCTCTCTCTATATATCCATCTATCTATCTTTATGTATATATGTATGCATTTGTGTCTAATGGTAGCTATCTCTAGGGTGAAGTGAGGGGAGGGAAGAAAAAAAGGAAAAAGTAAGGAATGTATGAGATGAATTTATCATATTTGAAAGGAATAGCAAGTTGTACATGATTGATTTAGCTTCATGTATAATCACCTTTTTATTATAACATGGTATGGAAATGCTTGTTTTATTCCATAAATTAAAAATAAACTAAAAAATTTATTTAAAAATTGGGACACTCAAAAAGGAAAAAAGACTTAGAAAGAAAATGAGATAGATTAGGGTGATTTACACATGGAAAGAGTACTTTTAGCTAGCATCTTTCATTTCACAAACATCTTTTCACTGCAAGCAAGTTTTATGTGAGACCCATGTCAAAAAGGAAAGAATACATCTGGTTTATGTGAGATGAGGGAGATCAAATAGCTCTTAATAAAGGTCTGACTCTTTTGGTGAAATATAAGGCAAGTCCTCTGCTGAGGAGGTGAGTGGGGGATGGAGAGTGGGAGCAAGCCATAAGGGAGGGATTTGGAAAAGCCGCTGTGGTGAATGAGATAGGGAATCATTGCATTATCTTCTAGTCATTGCAGTAGTGTCTGACTCCTTGTGACCCCATTTCGTTTTTCTTGGCAAAGATACTGGAGTGGTTTGCCATTTCATTTTTCAACTCATTTTATAGGTAAGGAAACTGAGGACAAGAGGGTGAAATGTCTTTCTCAGGTCTGGATTTCAATTCATGTCTTCCTGATCCTAGGCCCAGTACCATATCCACTGCACCACCTAGCTGCCCCTAGGGAGATGTCAAAGTACAGCCTTGCCTCAGTGAGGATGACACTGAGATTATGTAGGCTGAATGTGTAGTGAACCCAGGCAGTCTGGATTTATGATTTTATCTCTCTATTCAGCAGCATGTAAGGCTGTTGCCTTACTTAGAATTAATCCAAAGCTGCACTTTACATAAATCATCAACCTGTGTCCCTCCCCTGATCTCTGAGGCTCAGCCTTTGGTCCCTTCTTGGATAATGCCAGATTCATTGAGTTGACAGCCACTCTCAGGGGAAAAAGGAGGCAGAAACTCCCAGGGGTCCCATAGTATGAGATGCTTCAGGATCCTACAAAGAACTGTTCGTGGTCTTCATTGTAGATCTGGTCAGGTTCCATGGTTAGAACTAGACAACGGCCACTCAATAGAGGAGATAACGGGGCTGAGGCCAGAACCTGCATTGACCAACTAAGACAGAGAGACCGGAATACAGGGAGTGAGGTAGAGCCTGGGGCCTGGTGTCAGCCCTGGGCCCAGAAGCACCTCCAGTTTTCTACGCACCTCGCTAAGCTTTAGGAAGGGAAAAGCCAGTCTCTGCTGTCAAGGAACTGCCAACATGGCCTACAGACATGGAGATGCTTGAGAAAAAGCAACAGATCAGGGCTTCACTCTTAGCTGATCCAGGGGAAAAAAGAGAGTGTTTTGGAACAGAGAATGCAAGGAGTGAGGCTAATAATGGTTGAAGAAGGAGAGCAGAATTAGGGAGGGAAGTGTCAAAATCAAAATAAGAATGACAAAATTAGAGACAGACCTGAGAGATATTGTGGGTTCAGTTCCAGATTAGCACAGTAAAGCAAATGTCACCATAAAGCAAGTCATATGAATTTTTTGGTCTCCCAGTGCATATAAAAGTCATGTTTACACTGTACTGTAGTCCATTACATGAGCAATAGCGTTATGTCTAAAAAATGTATACTCGTGAATTAAAAAATACTTCGTTGCTACAGAAAGCTAGCCCTCATCTGAGCCTTCAGGGAGCTGTGATCTTTTCACTGGTGGAAGCTCTTGCCTGATACTGATGGCTCTTGAGTAATCAGGGTGGTGCTTGCTAAAACTTGGGGTGGCTGTAGCAACTTCTTAAAGTGACTTTGAAGTTTGCTATATTAATTGGCTTTTCTTTTCACTTGAACACTTAGAGCCCATTGTAGGGTTATTAATTAGCCTAATTTCAATAATGTTGGGTCTCAGGGAATAAGAAGGCTCAAGGAGAGGGAGAAAACAAGTACACATCTAATAATTAAGTAATTTTTCTTTAAACCAGAAGAAAATGCAGGGGAGAAAGTCTGTCTAGTGCTGTGGACAGAGCATGCCCAGTTATAGAGTTGGAGTTCTAGTCTCAGGTGTAAGGATGTGGGTCAGGTCTCTCAGTCATTCTGAGCTCATGGCCTGACTTGTGAATGTAATGAGAATTCTGGGCCTGCCTGGGTCACAGGTGTATTGTGAGGATCCAATGGGATTTTGCGGGAAGTTCTTTGTAAGTCAAGTCGTTCTACTGATGTGAGCTAATGGCATTTTCAAATAATTGATTCTGACCATTTAACTTTGAAAACTTTTCTCTTAGCCTGGAGAAATAGGATGTAGATCAGTTAACTTTATGCCAGGGGATATAATTATACATGCATACATACATGTTGTTGGTTTTTTTTCTTGCAGAAGGACAGATTGGACCAGCAGTGAAAGAGGCTACTGTAACACTAAGCATTTCTGTGGAAGAAACTCGCAAGGAAAACTTCATGAGTGATGGTTCCTGTGACTTCACTGGGCAAGAAATGTGTTTTGTACTTCATAGAATCCAGACAGGAAAGAAACTTTATGAATGTGATCAATGTGGAAAGTTGTTCATAGAGCGCTCCAATCTTGTTGAACATAAGAGAATCCATACTGGAAAGAAACCTTATGAATGTCATCAATGTGGAAAAACTTTCTTACAGAGTTCCAGTCATGCTTTACATGAAAGAATCCACACTGGGGAGAAACCTTATAAATGTGATCAATGTGGAAAGTCTTTCAGACATGAATGCCATCTTGCTCTACATCAGAGAATCCACACTGGGGAGAAACCTTATAAATGTGATCAATGTGGAAAGTCTTTCAGACAGGAATGCCATCTTGCTACACATCAGAGAATCCACACTGGAGAGAAGCCTTATAAATGTGATCAATGTGGAAAGTCTTGCAGACAGGAATGCCATCTTGCTCTACATCAAAGAATCCACATTGCAGAAAACCCTTGTGAATGTAATGAATGTGGAAGGACTTTCAGATGTAAATCCCAACTTGCTCTACATCAGAGAGTCCACACTGGAGAGAAACATTATGAGTGCAATCAGTGTGGAAAGAGTTACAAAAGCAGTACAGGTTTAACCACACATCAGAGAATTCACACTGGAGAGAAGCCTTATGAATGTAATGAGTGTGGAAAGACTTTCAGGTGCAGCTTCAGTCTTGCTTGTCATCAGAGAATTCACACTGGAGAGAAACCATATGAATGTGGTCAATGTGGAAAGAATTTCCGACAGCACAACAAGCTTGCTGAACATTTGAGAATCCACACTGGAGAGAAACCTTATCAGTGTCATCAATGTGGGAAGGCTTTTAGAAGACACGCTGGTGTTGCTAAACATCAGAGAACCCACACTGGAGAGAAACCTTATGAATGTCATCAATGTGGAAAGTCTTTCAGGCAGGAATGCCATCTTGCTCTACATCAGAGAATCCACACTGGAGAGAAACCTTATGAATGCAGTCAATGTGGCAAGGCTTTTACACGGAAGAGTAGTCTTAGTAATCATCAGAAAATCCACACTGGAGAGAAACCTTACAAATGTGATAAATGTGAAAAGGGTTTCATGTGTCCCTTTCATCTCACTGTCCATCAGAAGATGGAGAGAGACCTTTTGAGTGCCTAGAACATGGTAAAGCTTTTTATATATGCTCTACCCTTACTAAACATCAGAGAATCCATACTAGATGACAAACCTCCTTAATATAGTCAATATGGAAAATCATTCAGGCTAGTCATCCCTTGTTTCCTGTCGGAGAATTCAGAGGTGGTAGAAATCGTGTCCTTGTGATGAATGTGGAAAGTCATACAAATGGTGTACAGCACTTGTTAGACATCAGAAAATTCATTTTGGGAACAAGCCATAGAAGGACTCAATGTAGGAAGGTCTTCAGCCCGAGATCATTTCTTCCTTTACTGTGCAGAGAAGACCTACGAATGTGCTCAATGAAGTCCTGCCTTTCCCTGGAAGATGGAGGTCACTAGACACCACAGTATTTTGCACTGAAAAGAAGCTTTCAGAAAGCAAAAATTGTGGGAAAGCCATCACCTGGAACTAATACTTGTGTTTACATTGGAAAAATCTTGCTGGACATAAAATTTTGTATCCAATTATTGAAGGAAGGCCTCTTCCTACAGCACAGACTTCATTAGACATCACAAATTTCATACTGTGCACAAAACCTCTGAAATCCTAAGGTTTCTCATTATTCCTCTTTAATATGCCATGGCATTCTTTTGCCATAACTTCTTCAGCCATTCCCCAGTTAATTGGTACTCACTTTGTCCCATGATGTTAGCTGGCACAAAAATTCTTGCCATAAATATATAGGTATTGGTTTGACGTTTATTTTGTAATGATTTTTTTAGGCTGCTCTGTGGCACAGTGAATAGAGAGCTGTCCCTGAATACACAAGACCTGAGTTTAAATTTGGTCTCTGATACTTTCTAGTTGTGTGGTCCTAGATGAATCACTTAATCTATTTCTGCCTGAGCTTCCCCATCTGTAGAATGGGGATGGTAATAATAGCACCTACTTCCCAGGGTTAATGAAGGGATCCAGTGAGACAATATTTATCAAATGTTTTGCAAGCATTAAATCAGTATGTCAATATAAGCTACTATCATTATTATTCTGTCCCCTTGGATCATAAATCTCATAGCAATATCAGCAGATTAAAAGGTGCAGAGAGTTTACTCATTTCTCTTTTTATTGAGATTGATATTCAGAAGAGTGTAGATGAAAGCAGTATGTTGTAAGGAACAGGGAATAGGCTTTAGAGTTGGGAAGACCTGGGTTGAAATCCTGCCTCAGAAGCTTTACCTGTGTAACTCTGGGTGAGGAACAGTGTCTTTGTGCCTCCGTTTACTCATCTCTAAGAAGAGGAGGTTGGAATTAGTGGCTTCTATGGGCTCTCTCAACTTTAAATCTGTTTTCTGATTGAAATTACGTTTATGTGTCTCCTTCCAAAGCCTCTTACGATATTCCACGCAGGAGGCCTAGCAGGACCAAATCTGAGACTGTGACTGAAAGTGGTAGTCACTGAAACTTGCTTGTGCTAAAGTTGAGAGCTTGTACGTGTTGTGTTTTTAATATACAAAAGAAAGTGATTATAGCAATCCTGTGTTCAACAGTCACCAAAGTGTGTCACCAAACAAGGGATAAAGAAAGTCATACAAGCAATCATACAAAATGAAATGGTGAATTTTTTTCCCATGAAGAAACAAATGTATCTAAAATATGAATGTAAAAGGGATGCAATTAGCTATAGAAATTATTTGCACCAACTTTCTCTGATAAAAGTCTCATCCAAAGTGTTCAAAGAATGGATGTTATATACATATATATATTGATATGTGTGTGGATATGTATATATACACATATTCATACACTCACACAAATATCTCTGTGTGAACACACACAGACACACACACACGAGCCATTCCTCAATAAACTTATGGTCAAAAGCTATGAATAGACAGTTTTCAACAGAAGAAATCCAAGTTATCAACAATCATGTAATAAAATGGTCTATATCTGAAACCAAATCACTAATAATTAGAAAGCTTTTAAAGACTGGTAAAGGTAAGGAGAAAATGATGATAAAAAATAGTGGAGGGATTTCACAAGCCTTTATATTGAGGGATGATCTTACTTCATTGTCTGTGTCAAAGAAAACATTATATTTTATTCTGCATTGAAGCCTTCATCTCTATCAGGGCATGCATAGCATATTCCATCTTTTGTCATCTGGACGTCATTTTGAGATTGTCCAATGATTTCTTAAATTCTCTCTCCTTAATCTGATTTCCAGTCTGTATTTTTTTCTATGAGAAACTTTACATTTTCTTCTCTTTTGATTTCATTTTAGTATTGTTCATTGTCTCATGGAGATAGAGCTTTGCTTTGCCAATTATATTCATCTGTATATTTGTTGATTGGGCAAGTTCTATAGCTCTTGGGCCAACCCCATAATTCCTTTTTTGATTCTGTTTTCTACATTTCTCATTTCTTTTCCAATTTCTTCCTCTAGTCTTCTGACATCATTTCTTTTTCCCCTTAAATTTAATTTTATTTTAAACTTAAATACAAAATGAGAAAAGGAAAAAGTGCCATGTACAGAGTAGAACAAAAGGATTCAATATAAAGCAATAAAGTTCCATTTCAAGAAAACCTATACAATAAATACTATACATTATTTTCAAAGCTGTCTATCTTTGCCTCTTTGTATGTTTTCTTTTGTCCTCTGCCATGCATTTTTTACTTTATTTTTCCCCATTACTCCCCCACAGGCTACAATTAAGAACATACACGTATGCATGTATACACACATGTATGTGTAAATATAATATGTGGAAGACCATGTTATGCTTCTATCCACTTATCTGTTTCTCTGTGTAGGTGGATAGCATCTTCCTTTATATGCCCAAGTTTTTTCCATATTTTTCTAAACCCACTAGCTCATCATTTCCTACATCATATCAATTTTCTGACCCAATCACATTCTACCTGGGAGATTGCTTTTGATAATTTTTCATTTCCTCTTTCTATAGGTTTTAGGTATAGGGGAAAATAATCAAAATTATCCATTTCACACTTCAACTCTGTTCTCACCTTATAATATGATTCAGGGTCTGATAGTGTTGGATCTAGTTCATTCACATCTTTTCCCCTGGTTTCCTTGAAATTCCTGAAGCTCTGCTCTTCCAAATGAACTCTTATTTTTTTCTGACTCAGTAAGATAATTTTTTAGTAATTCAGTTGGGATGGTATTGCATAAATAGATTGGTTAGATAAAATTGTCATGTAAAAAATTATATTATTTTACCTACCCATGCACAATAAATATTACTTCCACTATTTATATCTAACTTTCTATAAAAAAGAGGTTTTTTTGTTTTCATATTAATAATGTAGTTCCTGTGTCTATTTTGACAGGTATACTCTCTTTTTTTATACCATTTAGTTACTTTCTATGGTCTAAAAGTATTGATTAATATGAATAACACATAGTGTAGTTTCCCTATTTCTTGATTAAATCTGATTTAACTTTAACTTTGAGATCATGATTACTATCCCAGCTTTTTAACAAAATGAATTCTACTCCTGACCTTTATTTTATCGTTGTGTCTCTGTCCTTTTTAATCTGCTATCATTTTCCATTTTATGGATAAATCCATCCTATTCACATTCTAAACTATAATGCCTTGTGTGTTTTTTTCCTTTATATATTCCTGACTGTCCTTCTCACCCTATACCTATCTCTCCTTTCTCCTCTATTATACTTCTACCTGGTACCTTTCCTTCCTATTCCTTAACCTACTCCCTTCAAGAATCCCTACTTTATCCTCTCCCTCTACCTTGTCCCTTTACCTTCTTATTTCTTTCTGAATTTAGAAGATTTTTATACCTTTCTAAATATATGTGTGTGTGTGTGTGTTGTTCCCTCTTTATCCCATTCCCATTAAACTACACTCCCTTCTATAACCAGCCCTTATCCTGTTCCATATCCCTCCCTTATTCTCCTCTCCCTCCCTATCCCCTTGCCCTTATTTCTTCCTGATATTAAATGACTTTTATGCCCTTCTAGATATATGTGTGTGTGTGTGTGTGTGTGTGTATTGTTCACTCTTTAACCCATTCCTGATGAAAATAGGGTTCCAGAACTACCCACCCTCCTACCCCATCTAATTCCTCTGTATCAGTTCTTCCTCTTACACCTCATTTCTATGAAATTACAAATTTTTGCTTTTTAGAATCACGTCATACTCAGCTCTACCCCATTCTCTTTCAAACTACCCAATTATTGACAGCCTTAGACATTCAGTTTACATTTCCACATATAAAAAGTAAACAATTTGTCCTTATTAAGCCCCTTGTAATTAACCTTATATTTCTCTTGGATCTTGTATCTCAAATTTTCTACTTTGTTCTGGTCCTTTTGCAATAAAATCCTGAAAGTGTCAATTCATTAAATTTCCATTTTCCTTCATTGGGGAATATAACTTTGCTGGGTATGATATTTTTGGCCATAACCTCAGTTCTTTTGCTCTTCAATATATAGTGTTCCAAGACCTGTGGTCTTTTGGTGTAGCTGCTTACTAGGTCTTCTGTAATTCTGATTGTGCCTCTGCAATATTTTAAGTTTTTTTTCTTGTTGGGCATACTTTTTCCTTAACTTGGGGTTTTAAGAATTTGGCTATGATATTGCTGTAGGTTTTCCTCCTAGGCTCTCTTTAAGATGGTGATGAGTGAATTTTTTCTATTTCTACTTTCCTCTCGTTCTAATGCATCAGGACAATTTTCTTTAATTTCTTCTCTTATTGAATCACAATTTTTTTTTTATTGTAGCTTTTAGGTAGTCTGATTATTTTCTTGATCTGTTCTTCAGATCCGTTGTTTTTCTTCTAAGATGTTTTGCATTCTCTTCTATTTTTTCATTCTTTATATTTTATCTTGTTCTTTTATAACTTTACTGGATTTTCCTTGCCCAATTCTTATTTTAATGGAATCATTTTCTTCCTTAAGATTCTGGATCTCCTTTGCCAGTTGGTTGACTTTCTTTTCATAATCTTCTTTTTCTTGGATTGTTCTTACTTTAAACTTTTTTTTCCCTCAATCTCTCTTATTTAATTTTTGAAGTCTTTTTTGAGTATTTCTGTGAATTCTTTTGGAACAGGTGACCATTTAATGTTAGTCTTTGGGGTAGGAGAGGCTCTTTTTGCTTCAGTTTCTTCCTCTGAAGATGAACTCTGGTCTTCTGTATTCCCATAGTAACTGTCTATGGTAGGGTTCTTTCTACTTTTCCTACTCATTTTTTTAAAGCAGCTTATTATTACAATCACTTCCAATCCTGTGGTGTGGGATATGGTGCCTCTGTCCTCAGGTCCTTCTTACTTTTATTTTTTGATCTTTGGCCTGGGCTGAACATCTACACTCCTTTTCCGTTCCAAGCCACAGCTAGGGCCCCAGGCACACTATGCTGGAAATACTCTGGCTCCCTGAGAACCCTCCAGTGGGTGTGACCTTCAGGTCTCCCCTGTGGCCTGAAGCCAAGACCAAGAACTCAACTCTCCTGTAAGTGTCCACAGCCAGAAGCATTTCTACCCGACTGTTTCTGCAGTCAAAGGTTATGCTGGTTCCTTCTCGCCCTGGACCAAGTCTCAACAGCACAACTGGGCTTGGTGGCTCTTTTCAGCAGAGGTTTCGCCAATCTTCCCCTGCTCAGATGCTGGACTCCCCACACCGTCTGGGAGTTGAAAATTCTTGTGAATGAGGTGGAGGCTACATCCCAACCCAACTGCCTCCAGGGATCACTGCTTCCTTTTTCAGCAGAGCTAGCCTGGAGGTATTTACTATTCACTCCAGCCAGACCTCGGTCCTGGGATCTTTCTTCAGATCTTCCTCAGTTGTCCCAGGTGGACCAATGTTCTGCCCCAACTCTTGTTTATTTTTGCCACTCTTTGTTGATCGTGAGGCAATATTTCATCTTGTTTGTGGAGGAAATCTGGAGAGCCTGGAATTTTCTGACCTATACTACCATCTTTCCAAAATCCTGCCTGGCCATTCTTCATGTCATTTCTAAAAACATTTTTAACGTCCTTCATCTGGATTGGTCTTTTCTATGATTTCTGGTTGAATTTATACCCATATTGTGCTTTTCTTTGAGAATTTGCTTGAAATTGGAACTATGTTCAAAGGGCTATAAAACTGTGCATACCTTTTGATCCAGCAATACCACTACCAGCTCTGTATTCCAAAGAGACCATAAAAAAGGGAAAAGGACCTACATGTACAAAAATGTTTGTAGCAGTTCTCTTTGTGGTGGCAAAGAATTGGAAATTGAGGGGGTTCTTATGATTTAGGGAGTAGCTGAAGAAGTTGTGGTATATGAATGTAATGGAATACTATTATGCTATAAGAAATGGTGAGATATCAGAAAAACCTGGAAAGACTACATGAACTGATGCTGAGTGAAGTGAGCAGAACCAGGAGAACATTGTACACAATAACAGCAACATTATGCAATAACCAACTTTGATAGACTTAGCTCTTCTCAGCAATACAGTGACAGAAGACAATTCCAAAAGACACCTCATGGAAAATGCCATCTCCATCCAGAAAAAGAACTATGGAGTCTGAGTGCAGATTGAAGCATACTGTTGTCTTTCTCATCATTTTTCCCCTTTTGTTCTGGTTCTTCTTTCACAACATGACTAATGTGGAAACTAGCCTATACCAGATTGCATGCTGTCTTGAGGAGTGGGAGATGGAGGGAGAAAAAAATTGGAATTCAATCTTGTAAAAGTGATTTTGAGAACTAAAAACTAAATAAAAATAACACATTTGAACAAAGAAAAAAAGAATTTGCTTGGTGATGTTTTGAAGTCATTGTCTTCTGGCTTTGTGCCTGGAGCCACTCTGTGAACACAGGAGCTTTAGAGATGGGATCCTTTATTGTTTTCTCATCCTTCCAGCCTCCTTCCTGACTATGGAGTGGTCAGGGCCAGGATCTCTACACTTCTGGATGGAATATCTGGCTGCTTTCTTGAGGTATTGAGTGTTATATTATTCCAGGATCTCAGGGACAGCTTAGGCTGGGGAGGTGCATGCTTTCAGTGCTCCCTATCCATCTCCCTGTCTGATCTCTGCAAATCCCTTACTTGTAATTGGGTCTGGGCAATATGTCTGTGGCCTTGCCCCCTGTGGAGTTTCATCAGATTACTGTTGGACTCAGTCACTGTTAGTCAGCTAGACAAATATGCTGGTTGAAAGTGACAGAACATCAGGGTCCCACCACTGTCATCTGACTTACTGACAACCTAAAGATGCCTTCCTGGGCCATGTCATCTGCCCTTCTGGGGCATGCATATGACTTTTAGGGCTAAGGTCTTGTAAGTCTTTTCATTTGTTCAGTCTTCCCCCCATGTGTGAACTTGACCATGCACACTCTTTCTGTAGTTGTTATTCCCAGTGCTGAGCATGGCACCCATCACCTAGCAACAATAGGATTTCAACAAGTGCTTTTTCATTAATTCATAATGTCTACTTTATAGCTGCCCTGACCCTTTCCATAAGTGCCATCTTTACTTTAAGAAAAAAAATACCTCTTTTCCAGTTAAGAAAAACCTTAAGGATTTGGTCAAGGTAGAAGAAAAACACCAAAAAAGAGGGACTTTGGGAAGAGGCCCCAATTCTGATCAATG